AAAAAAGAAAATTCTTTCAAGAAGGGGCAACGTGTGGCATTCCTGGATTTCTTACCTCAAAACCATCTAAAAAACGTTCTGTCGGTAAAGGAGGAACTGGGGCAAGAGATTCTAGGAAGTCACATGATGTAGCTCAGTGGGGCAGACAGGGCATAGTTGTGGGGGCCTGGGCAGTGGAGGTGCCCAGGAAGCAGGTGCTGAGATGGAGGTGGGAGCATCAAAGGTTAACCGGAGGTAGCACCTGAGACCAGAAAAGGGGGACACAGCCCCACTTGCAGGAACACTGAGTGGCTCCCCCAGGGCCCTGTCCCTGGGTCCCCTCACCTGGAGCCTCTCCCTGGGCACCCACCCACCTCCCACTGCCCCCCTCCATTTTGTCTGCAGAATGCTGCCCACCCCACCCTCCTCCCTAGGTGTGCTCTGAGCTTTGTCCCTCTAGGACTGCAGTTTGTGGGATGGATGGATTGGCTCATCAGCACTCGTCCTTAGGAAATGGAAAGGGGTCTGAGGAAGGTGTGGCGAGGCAGGCGAAGAGGGGGAAAGAGAGGACTCACCTGCGAGGGGCAAGGATTCCTGTTGACCCAGGGTGAGGCCTGGAGTACCCAGGAGGGCCACTTCCTCTCCCGCCATCAAGGCCCTGCTCACTGCTATTGGAGGGACTTTTGGGGGTGGATGTGACATGTCCCATCTGGGCCTCGTTCAGACATGAAATAAGTCGTGTTCTGATGTGATGCAGCTGGGCTGGGTCAGTGCCAGCCAGCCTCGGCACTCACCCCATTTTGTCAGGACATGGGCCAGGGCCACGGCCACATAGGTCTTGGAGAGGATGAGGGTGAAGATGAGGTTCAGGATGGACCCCATGAGGCTGGTGATGCATGACGACTGAGGAGAGATGGCAGGTCAGAGCAGGTGACAGGGAGTGGGGAGACCACAGCCCCACCCACCCAGCAGGAGCAGACAGTGGAAGCTCACCCAGGCTGCGAGGAGCGTGTTGTTTGACCTGGACACCAGGATGGCCAGGATGGCCCTGTACAGGATGACGGACACCAGGCACATGACCATCACGGCCACCTGCGGGCAGCCAGATGCCTGAGCCGCCGTGCTGCTGTCCTGGCACCCCAGCACCCTCAGGCCACAGCCCCCACAGCAGTACCACCACTGCTGCGTGTCTAGACCAGGCTGTGCTCCGTGCCTCCTCTTGCTGGGGTTGCGGGCCAGTGCAGCATGGTGGGCAGGGAGAGGTGGGGAAGGGTGGTCATTTAGAATTAGAGATGGGCAACATTTGGGTGTCAAAGGGCCCCTGTGCATTGTTAGCCCCAGGTGCTAGAGAACCCACCCCACTGGCTCACCAGCCCCAAACGGGGAATTCCTGACATCTTGGAAGGGGAGGGAGTGGGTCAGTTAGGAAGCCTCTAGGGCTGGAGGGCAAGGCAGGGTGTGAGGGGCCCCTGTGCTGGGATTGCCCCCCCATCTTGAAGGATGCCCAAGCCCACAGCTGGAGAAGCCTTCCCAGAGGCCCCTGTCCAACACACACCCACCTCTTACCACCCGGACCCCTAACTTGGCTGCAGGCTTTTCCCCCTCCCTGGAGCCCAGGTAACGGGGGCCCTTCTGGTGACAGCAAGGGTCTTGTGGCTCCCAGAGGAAGCATGAGGAGGATGGGAAGGAGGACACAAGCTGACCCCTGAGGCTCAGGAGGACAGAGGCATGGGGGGCGGGGAGGGCAGTGGCGACCCCTCACCATCGTCATGACCACCACGGAGCCGGCCAGCACCAGCACAGGCGGCTCCTCTTGGGGAAGTAGGGCTCGTCCTCACCGGCGGTGGGGCTCAGGGCTGTTGTGGGAGCTGAGGCGGCCACCTGAGGCCACGGCCTCTCCTGGAGGGAAGCCAGTGCTCAGCGGGGGTGCGCGCTCCGTGAGCGACCAGACCACCCACCACGATGTCCTCACGGTTGGAGCAGCCCCAGGGGTGGGCCTGCATGGTGCTCTTGCACTCCAGCATCCCAAGAGGACACGGCCCACAGCGCCATGAACAGGCTGAAGAAGACGGTGCCACCATGGTGGTGGTCCAAGGGCTGGCCAGCCTGCGGGCGGGGCGGGGAGGGGGGGTTCTGGCTCATTTGGGGCTGGTGGCCCCTGCACTCCCTCCCTGTCCTCCCTTTAGGGATGGCCCCGCCTGGTCTGTGTCTGCCCATCATTGTGTTTCGGCAGCAGGTGACTTGTTCCCTAGCACAGGTAGAGAAGATGTCGCCCCAGGAGGGCCCATAGCCAGTCCCACCCGCACCTGACTTAGATGATGCAGATGAAATTTGAGACTTTTGAGTTGTCGGTATCTAGGTGAGATTTTGGACTTAGAGTTGATGCTGCAGTGGGTGAGACTTCAGGGACACTGGGTTGGGGGTGAATGTATTTTGCACATGGATGGATATGAAGTTTTGGGGGCCAGAGGGTGGACTGTAGTGAATTGAATTATGGGCTCCCCAAAGATGCGTCCACCTGGGACCTCAGAATATAATGCTATTTGGAAGGAGGGCCTCTGCATGTGTAATTAGGATAAGGCTCTCTAGATGAGCACACCCTGGATTAGGGGAGGGTCGAAAACCAATGACACAGAAGAGGAAACAGACACAGAGACACGTCGAGGGAGGGGCCACACGAAGATGGAGGCAGCAGTGGGAGTGATGCAGCCCCGGACCAGGGAACAGGAGGATTCCTGGCAGCGACCAGGAACCAGGGGGCGTCACGGACCCGGTTTTCCAGAAGAAACCAGCCCTGACACCACCTCAGTGTTAGACTCTGACCTTCAGAATTGTGAGGGAACCGCTTTGTTGTGCTAGGGCCCCCCTTTTGTGACAATGTGTTACAGCAGGCCTAGGTCCCCAGGAGTGCGGCAGGGGGGCGTCTGTCTGTGGGTCTGTCCTGGCAGCAGGGCTCCAGGCCTGTGTGTGGGGCATGCTGGCAAGGCCGCTGGAGACGACGACACACCGCGCGGTGCACGGGGCTCAAGGACTCCAGGGAGCCGCCCGTCCCGGCCTCTTGAGTTGGGAGCTCTGCGCAGCCCGTCTGTGCCCGAGAGGTCTGCCTGCCCTGGGCCCCCAGCTGACCTTGGCCAGCCACACGCAATAGCACAGTCATAGTGAGAGTGAGGAGCGGGCGTCTCCCGGCGCAGGCCCTCCGCTGAGCGCCGCGCCGTGCTGGCCAGTCGTGGCCCGGGGTTGGGGGGGCATGGTGCCGTGGGGGTTACGTCACTCACAGGGGCTTGCCTTTGACAGGGACCGAGCTGGGGGTGCAGGCAGGGCAGGACCCAACCCGGGGGAGCTGCCGCTCTCACTTTGGCCCCCTCGTGCCTGGACCAGGGCACAGGCGCTGGAGAGCAGCCAGAAAGGGCAATCATGGCAGAGCAGGCACATCTTGACGCTGCCCTGCTGCCACACAGCTCCTGCCTCAGGGCGGTGGGGGCGTGCTGTGGGCGCCATGGAGGGCCTGCCCTCCCCTTGCCCTCTCCCGCCCCAGCACTTCTTTTAAAGATGTGCACCATGATGATTTTTAGGTCACTTTTGGAAGTTTCAGCTCCACAATAGGGTAAAACGCAAGCCAGCCATTTCTTTATCAAAAAAGCTGACACCATTGTGAGAAGCAAGGACGAGTGCCAGTGACACGAGCCTGCGAGTACAGCTGTCCCCCTGTCAGTCCGGGGGCACACCTGTCCCCCGTGTCCGCTTGGGAACAGCCGGTCTACCTACCAGCCTTCCAGCCAAGTCCACAGGGCCCCCGTGCCACCCTGTGGGCAGGGGTGTGCTCAGTGTGCACCTCCGGCCCCAGCTCTGCACAGGGCCTGCACACCCACCTCAGGAGACACCGGGGAGGCCTGGGAGCCGAAGGGGAGAGGACACTTAGGTAGGTGTGCCTGAGAACACCACGAAACAGCCCGCCAGGAACACCACACCAGTGTGCCCACCACTGCTGCTGGCAGGAGCCAGCCTGGGCAGAGCCCTGCAGAGGGGGCACTGGGGTCAGCTGTCAGGGACCTGGTGGCCGTGCCCCCAGTGCTGGGCTGAGCCTGAGGTGGGGGTCTCCACAGCCACATTTCTCCTCCAGGGAGCACACTCAGCCAATGCTGAGTCTTCTAGGAGGAAACTGAGGGGACCGGTCCTCAGGGGTGTCCCCTGGCAGCTCTGGGTACAACTCCTCGCTCCTGGCCTCTGGCCCTCCCACCATGCTGACCTGGGCACCAAGCCCAAGGGCTCTACCCAGGTGCTTCCTGCCCCCTGGACACCCCTTTCCTGAGCCCTATCTGCCTCCAACCAACTCCTGGGGTGGGTGTCCCCTCTTTGACAGGCATATCGCCCACCCATTCCCAGTTCTGGGAGCCTGGGGGTCATTCTGGATGCCTCCGGCTCTGCACCCAGCCCCACCATGGCCAGGTCCTAAGGTGCCCCCCAGTCCCTCAAGTGTGCACCCTGTCTGCCTCCCAAAGGTCTAGCCCAGGTCCATCCCAGCCTGGTGTCCTGTCTCCCCTGCATTGGCCAGTGACTTCTATAAAATGCAAGTCTGTCTAGAACCCAGCCAAGGACCCCACCCATCGGCCATCCATGGCCTGCACCTGGCCTTGCTGTCCCGGGGCCCTGCTCCTCCTCGGCCCCAGGAAGGAGCCCCAGGTCCTTGTGCACGTGGGCTGTGCCTTGGGCATCAGTGCTCTGGCCCTGCGCACCCTGCGTGGCAGCCCCCGACCCCGTCCAGGTCCACAGCAGTTGTGGATGGCCTCCCTTTCTGTGTCACCCAGAGCTGGGACACTCCACAAAGGCAGGACCCCCTGCCTCGCACAGCACCCTGACACGGCTCACAGTTTGAACGGAGATGTGCGCAGCATGAGTGCACAGGCCCGGGGGGGCAGGCACACTTGCTGTCTTTGGGGGCAAGACAGGACTTCAGGTGACTAGGGCACAGAACTCGGGGGAGGTGGAGGCTGTGAGGAAAGCAAGGAGCCTGGGGCTGCCCAGGGCAGATGGCCATCCCAGAGGTGCCAACCTGTCTGGAGGAGGGGAGACAGTGGGCCCCTGGGCCTTGGGCAGGGTGACCGCTGTGCCAGGAGTTCCTGGGGTGGCCCAGGACTTCACTGGACATGTCTGCTGGACCAGGGACATTGAGGACTGGGGTTGAAAGGGGCTCTTGCTTGCAGAAAGGGGTTCCCAGACCCGCACCAGAGCCTTACGAGGGCCCCAAATGGTCACAGTGCTCGGGTACCTTACTGAGGCCAGACGGCTGGGCAGAAGCAGGGTTCGGCCAGGGCACGCTGGCCTAGGAGGGGTTGGTGTGGCCAGTGGCTGAGCCCCATGCATGGCTCCCCTCCTGGGGACATCGGTTAGCAGACTGTTACCCAGAAGACCAAGCTGGGGCCCAGAAGTCCCTGAGGGGCACGGGACTCACCGAGCCAGGTGAAAGGGGCAGCCGTCTTCTCCCCGGGCACCGGCGCACCTGGTCCAGAGGCTGGTACTCGTTCCACTGGTGCCCGCGGGCCCAGCGCTGGAGCAGCACCTGCTGCTGGCTGAGGCCCAGAGCCCGCGGACTCTCTAGGGGCACCACCAAGGGGCCCTGGGGATGAGAAGCCATCGGGCAGGGAGATCCCAGGATGGTCCGGGCATCCTCCCCCACCAGACGCTATTCTAGGTCTGGGGGCTTCAGCACCCCCACTGTGGGCAGACGGCCAGACAAACCCCGGGACTCAGGACTGCTGAGGACAAAAGGGTCACGCTGGGGGCTGGCATCCAGGAAGGCCCCTCTGAGGAGCGCACATCTGTGTTAAGCCCCCTGGCCTGGGGCTCCCAGGTTCCAGGTCCAGGGCAGTGGAGGGGCCTGGAGGGCGGCCCTGGGAGGAGCTGGTGGCTGTGGTCAGTGGGATCCGTGTCTCCGGGCAGGGATCTGGCAGTCCCTGGCCATGGCCAGGCCAGTGGGGCAGGCCGTCCCGGCCCCGGCCAGCAGGGAGAGCATGCCCCTGGGTGAGGGGGTGCCGGGCGTGGGCACTGGGCCACTCCCTGTGCACGCCCTCACTGACCCCTCGGTGGCATCTCAGGGTCACACAGCAGTGGGTGGGGGACTGACCTGGGGCCCTTAGGCCCCGTCGCCCCTCCCTGCAACTCTGAGGGCCTCATGGTGGGCGGCTGCAGGGGCGGGGAGTCAACAGCCTCCAGACCCAGAGGGGGGACATTTTGTCAGGGGTGATGGTAAGGCTGACGAGTCTGGTACTGTGGCCGCTGGCGAGGTGAGCACCCCTCCCTGGCGATGCCTCGGTTTACCTCGCTATGTGACAGGCACATGAGACCTCCCCCTCCTCCCTGAGAGGGAAGCCGCCCAGGGAGACTGGGCCCGTGGTGGGCGCGCCGCAGGCCACACCGGGCCCAGTCATGCACAGGGGTGCTGCTGACCACAGCTGCCGTCGTGGGAGGGCAGGGCCCGCTGCCTCACATGCCTGGGCAGGACCTGGGATCCTCCTCATCCAGACACTCACCCTCTGGCGGCAGCCTGAGCCTCCCGCCCCAACCCAGCTGGGCCCCTCCGGCCCCAGGATTCATGTCATGCAGGGGGAGGGCTGCGCTGAAGACAGCCTCCCCCAGCAGCTGGTCGATCCCAAGCAAGCCTTTTTTCTTGTGGCCGTAGGGGGTCTTGGCCAGGATCTCAAACAGCTGCGGGTGGTGGGGAAGGCACCAGTCACAGGACAGCGGGGCAGGGACATCCTGGCCCTCCTGTCTTGGGACTCAGCCCACGGGTGGCCTCTTGGGGCCCCTGGTGACAGCGGTGAAGACACACCCAGGTCCTGCTCATGTCACCGGCCCACATGGCACGACCCCTCTTTGTAGACGGGAGGCCTTGGCTCACGGCAGTCATGTCTGGGTTTGAACCCATGCCCTGGCCAAGCGCAGCCCACTCTGCATGGACCCTCGGTCTGGGCAGGGGTCAGCCTCCACCTGGAGGCCTGTCTTGGGGGGCCTGGCCCCTGAGGGGCAGCCCACGTGGCCTGGGCCTTCGGTTGTCAGCAGCCGGTTCTGCTGGGCAGTCCCATCCCAGCCGCTGCCCCAGCACAGGCCCCCGGGGGGCCCAGCTCTGCCCGCCCCTCTCAGGCCGCTGCAGTTGCTGGTCTGCTCTGGCCCTTGGCTCCCTGCCTCACTGGCCAACAGGGCCCCCCGCCCTCTGGCCCAGCAGTCTTGGCTGTCTGTCCCACAAACCCTTGAATGTGAGACCCAACTGGGTCCCTGGGGTCCCCGAGAAGCGCGGGCCAGCTCTGCCTTTGCAGCCTGGGGATGTGCTCCCCTTGTGGAGAGAGGAGGGGTGGCCTCTGAGCCTCTGGCCCCACCTTGGGGTCTCCGGCCGGGGACACTGTCCCTCTGGTCAGTATGCAGAAAGGTCTTCCTGTATCCACGGGGGCCTCTGCTCCCGGGGGGCAGAGTTTCTGGGGCTGCAGCCTTTCAGGCCTGGGTCAGGGCGCGGGGCTTACGGCAGGACCCTGCTCACAATGTGGTGCCTTGCAGGTGCTGGGGAAGAAGGCGTCCAGGTCGCCACTGCCGAGGACCCTGCAGGGTGAGGGGCGCTGGGCCCAGGCCTACCCCATGCCTCGGGCCGCAGCCGCGGGCCCTGGGCAGCACGGGCAGCTCCCGTTGTGCCTCTTCTTTCCCAGAGGCAGGAGCACACGGCAGGTTCTCTGGCTGCAGCAGAACCCCTCACAGGGCAGAAGGAGTGGACTGCGCTTGGGCAGAGGGTCCCATGGCCACCTGTGTGTCTCCTGAAGCTCCGAGCTCGGGGCCACAGGCCTCTCTCTGGGAGGTGTCTGATGGTGGCCTGTGTGTCCAGATGGTTGACCCGAGGGCCCTCCCTGGGACACCAGAGTCTTGGGAAGCCCTGGGGTAGGGCAAAAGTGAGGAAGGCTGAATCTCCCCCCAGCCCAGAAAGCAGGTGTTCTCAGCGTGGGCAGTGAGACCCTGAGGGAGTTTCTGGTGCTGGTCACCCACGCGGGTCCCCACCAGGCCTGACGCCGCCCTAACCTGCATGCTGGCTGTGGCTGTGTGACTCGCTTTGGCCAGTAACAGGTCCATGGAAGAGGCGTCTCCAGCGGGGCTTCCAGGAGCCAGTGTGGACACGCCACCTGCACTTTCTGTGTGAGAGGGAACCTCCACCCTCCCGGGCCCACCCACCACAGACCCATGGCTGAGCAGGAAGCGGAGCTCTGAGTCCAGCCACTGAGCTGGGGGGTGCTCGTTCCACACCACAACCTGACTGTTCTGACTGATACGATGACACGTAGGTGAAGCGGACATGCATTGAGAGCTTGCACACCTGGGACTGATGGCCTCTAGTTGAAAAGCTCTGGAAAGGAGCGTTTAGGCGGAGAGCCCCACATTTTAGTTCTCACTTGTTCCTTCTTCATCCCTGGTTCTTCGTCAGGCCTGGGACCCATGTGAGTCTGCCCGGCCGGCCGGGTGGGGCCATCTCACCTGGACAGCTTACTGGCTGTGAACTGGCAGGAGTAGGACTCGGGGGACACGTCAGGCACTTCCTCCAGAAGGATGTTGGAGACGCCCAGCTGCTCCAGTGGGCTGGCCATCCAGTTGGAGGCCTGGCTGGGCAGCTCCTGGAAGGGGACACGGACGCCATGCGGTGGGGTTGGGTGTGCGGGTTTGCAAACAGGGCAATGGGAGAAAGGGCTCCAGCCGAGGGAACAGCACCGCCCTCCCCGGGCCATGCTACAGACCCTGTGGGGAGACCAGGCAAGCCCCTTCCCCTCTCTGGGCCTCAGACTCTAGGGCTGCTCTGCTGGTCAGTTTGAGGCCCAGAACCTCTCATGGCAGAAGGGACAAAGGGGTGGTGACTGTCTCTTTGTCCAGCCCCAGGCCATGCTGGGCCAAGGGAGCCCACAGACTGGGTGCAGAGCTGCCCTGAGCCTGCCATCCTGAGTTCAGCCGGGAGCTGCAGCCCCTCCACCCCGTGTCCCCTGTCTGCAAAGCTGGCCCTCAGGGGGCGGCCTGGAGGGGGTCTGCGCCTGGAGGGGTCCAGGTGGTCAGCTCAGAGCCTTGGCTGCCGCACTGCTCCCCCCTCCCCGAGCCACCACGGGTGCCACCCCTCATCTGACTTGCCAGCGAGGCTTCTTGGTGCGCCGTGTGCTGGGGGGAGCAGAGACGGAGTGGGGGCCCCGGGCTTCCCAGCACTGGCAGTGGCACTGGGACACGGGGTGCAGTCACGAGGGACCCTGGCTCCTGGGAGCACCTCCAGGCCCTCTCTCTGCCCGCCACAAGGCCCCAGGTACCTGCAGGGGCAGCTGCAGACGCAGGTCCTCTGCGCCAACAGCAGAGCACGGACCGGGGGCGCCGAGGAGGAGGTAGTGCACCGCGCTCTCCTCATCCTGGACGTCACGCTGCGGGGACAGGGGCTCTGTGAGAGCCTGGGGCACACGTGGGCTTGCACATGCGTGTGTGCGCAGGTGTGGTCATCTTTATGAACTTGTGTGCACATGTGAGTGTGTGTCCTTTCACACTCAGGAAGAGAGGCTTCCTATAGCCACGGTGGCAACTGACCAGCACTGGTTTTAAACTATCTGATGAATGACAAGTTCCTTCTGTGGTCCTGCTCCAGGAAGTCGACTGTCAGGGCTGCTCCTGTTTGGAAGTCAGCCAAGGAGGGACAGACAGACACCGCGAGGCTGCCAGCTGCCCCCCGCCCCCGCCGGTGCCTGCAGCACGCTGACCTCAGTGGGAAGTAAACCCAGCTGCTTCAGTGAACAGCGTCTCGGCCTTCGACAAGCCACCAGGTATCCGGGGGCGTTACGCACATGTGATAGAAGTGAGCACATGACTGTGCAGATGTGGGTGGGCATGGCAGTGCACACGTGTGCAGACGTGACAGGCTCTCCCGGAGCCCAGAGGGGGAATTTTCATTTCCAGGGTCTGCTGTCTCTCTGTGTGCACCTGCTTCCCAAATCAGTGATTCTCAGCCTCAGGGGTTCCCTGACCGTCCTGGGCCAGATGCCTGCTTCGGCAGGAGGAGATAACCTGGCCTGCGGTCAGTGGTTCCGCAGCTGTAGGGGGCTCAGGGAGGAGGCCCCCCGCAGGACTCTGGGGCTTGATCTGTTGCAAGGCTCTGGACGCCACACCCTCAGGCCCTGTGGGGCAAGGTCACAAATCACTGAACGAGTGCAGAGCCAGGGCCTACAACCAGCCCCACGTGCCTGCTCCACGTGCAGCCCAGCCGCAGGCAGCTTACCCAGGAAGGCGCCCCCCCCGCCCCTGCACGCCCGTCTTGTCCAGGGTGGCACTGTCCTGCTGCTGACCCTACCTCAGGTCTTCCCCTTGAAGGGCATCTTCCAAACTTCAGGGCAGGACAACGGAGCCCAAGAGGGGCAGAGGCATTGCTGGGGGAGGCGTGGTCAGAATTAGGGGCTGCGAAGGGCCCTGGGCTTGAGGGGCGTGGAGGGGCCAGAGCCACAGGCCTGTGAGGAAACCCTGGGCCCTGGCTTGCTTACACACTGAGGCAGCTAAGGGGCTGGTGGACACCAGAGACCCCCTGGAACCGCGGCCAGACAGAAAGGAGGGAGGCTGCTGCGCACCCTGGCTTTCCAGCTGAGGCTCCCGGGCCGTGCCCCAGGAGCACAGTCTGTGCCATAAGAGGAAGAAACGCGCCTTAGGAAGGAGCGCGGAGCTGAAGCGGGCCTGTCCTAGCCCCCAGAACCGAGCTCAAGCAGGCCCAGGCGACCTGCCGGTCACCTGGCTGCCTTTCAGAACAAAACAACACTGTATGGGAAGTTCACAGAACGAGCAGAGGCAGACCCAGAGATGAACCATACAGCCAGCAGAAGATGGCTATAAATAATGTCAGTTATTAAGTCAAAAGAGGAAAAGGAGTAAAGAATGGAAGAAATGGTCTGAGTAACAATTGGAACATTTCAAGAGAGAATTAGAATTTATGAAAAGGGTTCAAACGAACATTCTGAAACAGCAGAACACAGCGTATGACATTAAGAACTCGTTGGACAGGTTTCATAATAGACTAGACTCAACAGAAGACAGGGCTGCCAAACTTAAGGCTAGACCAGTAGGAAAGTGAAGCTCAGAGGAAAAAGAATGGAAAGAGCAGAGCAGGGAGCAAGGCGGTCGCGGTCACGGTCAGAGGGCCAGCAGACTGCCCTGAGAACCAGGAGGGAGAAGGAAGGACGCGACCTGTGAACACGAATGTTTCCAAATGATGGAATAAAGCAATCCAAAGACTCAAAATGCTCAATGACCCCCACACAGGATTTAAAAACTGACACGTAGGAAAACCATGGTATAGCGTAGCTTTGCTGTGTTACAGACAAGGCGAGATCTTAAAAACAGCAGGAGAAGCAGCACTAGCTACAGCAGCCAAGACATGGAAGCACCTCGACGGTGCCCGTCGACAGATGACCGCATAGAGAAGATGTGGTGTGTCTATACAATGGAGTACCACTCGGCCGTAAAAAGACGAAATCACGCCATTTGCAGCAAGATGGTTGGACCTAGGGATTGTCATTCTAAGTGAAGTAAGTCAGACAGGGAAAGACAAGAAGCATATGATATCACTTACACGTGAAATCTTAAAAAAAGATACAAATTTTATTTACAAACCAGAAATAGTCTAGAGGACATAGAGAACAAACTATGGTTACCAGTGGGGAAGAGGGGAGGGAAAAATGAGGAGTTTGGGATTAACAGATACACACTACTGTATGTAAAATGATAAACAAAAAGGACCTCCTGTACAGCACAGGGAACTAAATTCAGTATTTTTCAATAACCTATAATGGGAAAGAATCCGAAAGAAAAAGTGTGTGTATGTACGTATCTGCACAACTGAATCACTTTGCTGTGCACCTGAAACTATCATTGTACATCAACTACACGTCAATAAAAAATAAAATGGGAAAAAACAGCAGGAGGAAAAAAAACCACATTATTTTTCAGGGGCACAATAACAATATAGGCACAGGCTTTCCCAACTGAAACAGTGGCGGCCAAGACAGTGGACTGACGTCTTTAAAGTATTGGGGGAAATACTGCAAACTAGAATTCTTTGTCCAGTGGAAATGCTCTTCAGAAATGAAGGCTAAATGAAGACATTCTCAAACCTTCAAAATCTGAGGGATTTTGTCCCAGCACATCTGCTCTACTGGAAACACTAAAGGAAATTCTTCATGAAAGACATAATTGCAGGTGGAAGTGCAGGTGTGCAAGGATGGATGCACAGACCACGAAGGACGAATACACAGTGAGTGGAAAGGACAACTATGTGAGTTCATTGCTGCATTAATCACAATAGTCAAAAAAAGGAAACAACCCAAATGCCCATCATAAACCCAGAAGTGGAATTGCTGGATCACACGTGGCAGCTCTGGGCTTAACTTTGGGGGACCCACCGTGCTGTCCTCCGCGGCAGCCGCACCAACCCGCGTTCCTGCCAGCAATGCACGAGGGGCCCGATTTTTCTGCATCTTCACCAGCACCTCTTTTCTGTTTTGTTTTTGTAGCTGTTGTGGTTGTTTAAAGAACAACCATCCTGGTGGGTTCGAGCTCGGGGTGTTTACTTCTCACATGGGTCTTCCTGGTGCTGCGTGGGGAGTGGCATTGGCCAGGGGGAGCACAGGTGGGCGCGGCTGCAGGCCCCTGGGGAGATGTCGGTGGCTTGGGGCAGACGGGGCAGTGGGCTGGGGAGTGAGGAGGTGGGCCGCTCCGTCTGTGGGGAACCCCTTCCTGTGTCTCCCGGGCGTGTCCTGCCCACCCCATCCTCCAGCACAGCAGCTGGTGCTGGCGCTGGCTCAAGAGGTGCCGTTGGGTGAGGAAGGGGAGGCCTGGTCACTGAGGACGGTGACCTGGGCCACTGTCCTCCTGCCACCCGTGGGCGCCCCACCTGTGTCCCCACCCCCAGCACCAACGTGGGCACAGCTGGCAGATACTGGGAGGGGTCACTGATCCAGGGCTTGGCAGGGCTTCCCACCTTGTGGGCGGCCACCTGGTGTCCACCTGGCTGGAAGGAAGGGACAAGGAGTGGTGGCGTCTGGCCACATGGGCAGACACGCTTGGGGGCGGGGCCAGCTGGGCCCTCTCCAGCTGCTCCAGGGGCTGCCACGGCCGCCGAGCGCCCCGCCTGGGCTGTGGGCCGGGCTAGGTCTGAAGGCAGCCTGGGCAGGACCCAGGGGTGCCCACTGTGCAGCCTCCAGAGTCTGGAGAAGAGCTGGACGGCCCCTCAGTGCCTGCGGACAGGCCAGAGGTGGTCACGGCCCTGGAAGTGGAACCCTTCGGTTTCTAGACGTTCCAGGTGAGTGAGGCCTGTTTCTCTGAGGCTCATCGCACCTGTGTTGTGGGGGGCAGGGAGGGGGGCACCTTCCACTCTCAGGCCATGGGGCTGGGCAGCACCCTGGAGGCAGAGGGGGGCCCAGGAAGACCAGGCAAGAGGACACTCCGCAGCAGGGCCTCTGGGGTCTGGGGCCCAGCATCTCCCCCAGCAGCCTCCCCTAGGGTGTCTGTGGACCCCAGGGATTGGGGGGAGCCCCTAGAGATGGACTTGGGGAAAGAAGGCCCACAGCAGGTGGGGACTTTTCTGCAGGCCCCAGGAGGTGTGTCCTCCTCTGGGTTTGACCCTGGGGACAAGGCTGACTGGGGGGAGCCTGAGGCACGGACAGAGGCCTTCAGGATCCTTGGGGCCGCACAGTGGCTGCCCTGGGCCCTGGGGATCTGCTGGAGCCTGAGACAAGGTTGGGCCTAGTGCCCTCACCCCAGCGCTTTTAAAAAGGCATCTGGGCCCCAGGGTGACCCGAACCCCCATCCCATCACTAACCTGGACCCTGACTCTTACGTTGGCCTAAACCTACCCCATCATAACCTCACCCTTCCATAGCGCTGACCCTCACCCTCTCTAGCCCGTCTACAATTAACCCGCACCCTGACCCCGACCCTGACCCTGATGCGTGCATCTGCCCCGGGATCGGGCCCTCCCCATCACCTGTGTGCTGACGACCTGGCAGGCAGCAGAGAAGCAGACGCAGCCAGTGCCCGCTCTCCACCCAGACCTGACTCCAGTCCTCTCTGCTGTGCTCGCTCAACCCCAGAGGGTGCAGCCCGCGTCCCTGCTCCTCCCCGGGCCCACCTGCTGCCCCTGGGCCCTTTCAACCCTCAGAACAGGTAGTCGTGTTGTAAGAATTACTGTTTCAACACACGTTGCACTGATCCATTGCTCTGCAGCCCCTTGCGTCTCCCCTTGCTGGTGGCTCACTGGCCTCCCTGGAGCGGCCTCATCTGGCCTGTCCCGGGGATCTCTGCTCATCCCGCAGGGCGGTGGCCCGACAGTGAGGGTGAAGGACACCCCCTCTCCCATCGCTGGGGCAGCTGAGGGTTTGGGGGTTGCTGAGGAGCAGGAGGGAAGACCCGGTGGGTGTTGCAGGGGCCGCTGTCCCCAGGTCCCTGTGTCCCCTTCATACACCTACAGCAGACTGAGCCTGGGCTGGGCAGCAGGGCGGGGGGCCGGGCAGCGGGTAGCTGCCTCTGCGGCTGGCTATGCTCCCGTAGGAGTCCCCCTTCTCTGGCCCGGGGACCACGCTGGTCAGGACAGCACCGCCCTCTTCCGGGACCTGTCTGCGCAGCATCCTGCTCCTGTGCCCCTGCAGGGCCCCTAGCGAGCCCACTTCAGAGCGGACAGGGCTTGGAGTAGGCCCAGGTCTGACCTAGGAGCACTGGAACCCCCCGGGTCCGGCCCTGGCTCCAGACCAGGTAAAGGAAGGAGCACTTGGGAGGCCGGCCCAGCACCACCCAGGGAGTGCCCACCTGCCCCTCAGCCCTGCATGGGGTGGCAGGGCCTGCAGAGGCCCAGAGGGTGGGCCCAGAGTGCAGACCCCTCTCCCCTCTGCTGGCTTGCAGGGGCACCGACAACCCTTTAACAGGTAGAGATGGGGCCTGGGCTCCTCCTGGGGGTCCTGGGCCCGGGGGGAGGATGGCCGGCCGTGCGGGCCCAGTGTCCTTCCCACCGGCAGGGAATCTGGGAGCAGGCGGGAGAGGCGCCTGGCACGGCCGGCCGGTGAGGGCTCTCCAGCGCCTGGAACAGGATCCGTCTTTGTTGGAGAAGGGAGCGTGGGCTCTGCAGAGACAGCCCGCGCTCCTAGAGCCTTCACACAGTCCACATACGCCACCCCCCACCCCTGGGAGGGACACGGCTCGTGTCTCTCCCCTTATTTGCCCAGAGGTCTCGGCCCAGCAGCTGTCGGAGCTGCAGCTGCAGAGGGTTAGGGAGACATGGGGTTTGGCAGGGACGGCCAAGGTGTGGGCTGGGGTCACCCTCACCCGGGGGTGTGCTGGGTCTGGGGACATCGGGGACCCGGGGTGAGAGCCAGCTCTGCTGCTTCCTGGGTGTGACCTCAACCTTATCAGCCACCTGTGAAGGGGGAGCGGCCCTGCCCACCGTGGGGAGGAGGGGGTCCCAGCCCTCCTTGTTCCCCTTGGCCACTCGCCACGCCCAGCCCACTCCCCTGGTGCCCTCTGCTGCCTGTTGAGTTCCGGAGTCAGACCCTCGTCCTGGCTGGAGCCCCTGACCCCCATACCCTTCCCGGGGAGCCCTGTCAGCGGGACACGTGTGGCCTGGGGGCGCCTGCACTGAGGACTCTGGGGCCAAACCCTCCGCACACAGACCCTGGGCTGCGCTCTGTGTGAGGACTAACAGAGACCAGGGGCGGGGCAGGAGGCACCCCACGGGGCCTGTGTGGAGGAAGGCTTGGCCCCACTGCGCGGGACCGTCCCTGGAAGAGGTCGGGTCTCGGGGTGCCAGGCGGCCTGCCCAGGAGAGGCAGTGACAGCGGCTGCTAGAGGCCACCGCCGAGCCCAGCTGGAGCCCTCGGAGGGGACAGGCACAGAGAGTGCTTCAAGAGCTGCTCAGCCCTGGGTTTAACTTTCACTTTACTGCATACAACGTCTTAGGTTTGACGTCTTCTCAAGGTGCATTACTTTCACGGTTGAAAAAATTAAGCAAGCCACGAGCCGCACAGGTGTGCTGGGACACAGGTGCCAGCCGCTCACCGCCCACTGCCATCCTGTCTGCTTGCCTCTTGGAGTCCCCAGCTTCTGCCCGGTGGGTGCAGCATGTCTGCACGCCTGTCCCCTGCCCTGCCCCTCCTAGGGGACCCCTCTCTGTGGCTTGCCTGCAGCTCAGCCCAGTGGCTACTCTTCTGCCAGGAGAGGCCCCCCATTCCCCCCAGGGTCCCGTCCTCCTCTGTGTCCCTGCCTGGAGCCCTTCCCGCCCCCCAGTCTTCCTGCCAAGGGCCCCAAGCCCACAGCTTGGGGTTTTCAGGCCTTCTCTCTGCTGCCCCTTCCCAGGTGCCCCTCGCCCCCAGCCCTGAGTACTGGACCCTCTCTGGGGCCACCCCACTGCTGAGACTCCAAAACGCCCGCTTTCTCCCATAGCACGGAGCCCGTTGTGACCGCGCACTTGTCCTGTTAGTGTTTAATCTACACTCCACTGTGCCCGAGGTCTGCAGGGCAGGGCTTCTGGGTCTGTGTGTAGCCAAGTGCCCGACAGACGGACGAGCACAGACCGGGCGCAGGTGCTGGGTGAGTGAAGGGGCGGACTCCCCCACGTTGCCGACCTGCCCCCCCACGCCCGCCTCCTGAGCTGACCGACGGTCTCCCCATCCTGGCGCCGCACGTCCGAGCACACGGGACGGCCCCACACAGGCCAGGAGGCCTCTGGCTTCTCTGAGTGCTGGATTCTCCTCTCCTGTGATTTGCAGGCGCCCCTTCTTCCCTTGCAGGCGTTAGGCCTCTTGTCGGTGGTAAACCTGAAATAGCGCCTAACCCGCTGCCTGTGGTCTGTTCGTGGTGTTCTTTGTTCTGCACGGAGTTTCACTTTATGTCAACCAACCCATCAAAATCTTATCTGAAGGCCGTGTTCTGGGGTTTAAGAAGCTCTTCTGCACTCTCAGTTCACAGATATGTTTTCCCCCCTTTCTCCTACAGGTCTTCGATTTTACTGCCACACGGAGACTCTTGTCAGGTCAGCCTGTACGACGTGAGGCAGGGTCAGTGTCCCTCTCCCGGCCTGTGCGGCAGCGCCCAGCCTGGCTGGGGACAGGCCGCGGCTCCCCGGCCCTGTGGCCGCCCCGGCTCTTTCCACGCTGTTTCCGCTGGGGGTCTGTAGCTTTGGGAGCCTGGCAGGAGATTGCTTCTCCACTCGTTTTCAAAGTTGATGGAACTTTTACGTTTCACGGTTCAATGTGGATCTTTTTTCTTCAGAGTTTAATGAGTTTCTCGGAAAATGGCATTTTGATTAGGATTTTGCACACATTTTCCCACCCCTTGCACATTTTTTGGTGTAATTTAAAAACTGTCTATTCAAGAGCACATGCTGGATTGTGACCTGTGGCGCCCACTTCTGTCTCCTCGAGCCTTTCTCTCTAGTGCCCCCTCTTTGCTTGCGGCTTTGGGTTTTTTCCCTACTTGTGAATTGGATGTTTCATAACTTATTTGTTGCTAGTAGTTGCTTTTCTTGGAGTTGGGGGAAATTAGGTTTACTTGTTTATTTTAGTGGCGGTGCTGAGGACTGAACCCAAGGCATCTTGCATGGCTTGTCCACTGAGCTATGCCCTCCCCCTGTCAGTGGTTGCTTTAAACTTGTATTTTCCTACAAACTCTATATGCTATTACTTCTTTCTTTTATACCACAGTTAAAACTTGCAGAATCTTCGGGGTGGTGGTAGAGCTCAGTGGCAGAGTGCATGCTTAGCACGCATGAGGTCCTGGGTTCAACCTCCAGTGCATCCACTGAAAAAACAAACTTGCACAGTCCTTCCCTCTACTTGCCACTGTCTTACCTCTGGGTTCACAAAAACAGTAACCTGGCGGCTCAGACCCGTTTTGTGGGGGCACATTCTGTATCGTCAGGAACTCTGTCCCACATTTGCAAAGAGCTCGACAGTCAAGTACATTCTTTTAAACTGAAGTTCTGCTGGCTTTTGTGCTGCTACTGAAACACCCTCCCTTCCCAGTTCTTATCTGGATTCATCTCTTGTTTGGGTGGACTCCTCCAAATAACTTTTTCACCACAGGCACTCAAATCCTGAATCCCTGTGCACCTGAAAATGTCCTCCTCTTGTCCTCAGACAGCAGGTGGCCGAGGGTGGAATTCTAGGCTCCTGATCTAAAGGCTCTTTCCAGGCCACCCCAACCTGACCCTCTTCCCTTTCATAGGCAGATGCTCATAATTCAAGTCGCAAAATTAATTCTGTTGAAGATCCGAGTCAGAAGTTGGCCGTGACCTAACCAGCCCTCAGGCTGGCCGTTGCGTCCGCAGCTTCCCTGGCAGATGGGCGCCCCGGCCGTGGGGCAGCTGCCCAGGGCCTGCCACAGGGTCCAGTGCAGCACTGACCAGCAGGACTGTCTGTGGGGATGGACGTGGGCTGCCCCTGGCGAGGTGTGGCTACCACTGTGGCAAGTGCAGCTGAGAAACTGAATTTTTAATTTCACTGTAAAGACTTTACTTTGAACTGATGCAGCCACAGGCAGCCTGGGGGGATCCTGGGCTGGACTCGAGTGTCTTGGAAGCAGGAGGGACCTTGGGGTCCTGTGATTCGGTCCTCATTCTGCAGAAGAGAAAATCTGAGACCCTAGGAGATGACAAAGTCCTGGTCACATTCAGGGTGGCTGTCCATGTAAGTGTATAAAGAACAAGCCACTACGATGATGGGGTAAGACGGAAAGGTGACATTAAAGTGGTCCAGAGGGTGGCTCTGGAGAAGCCCGTGAAGGGAGACGCAGGTGGGTCGCGCACAGTGCAGGCGAGTGTGGGAGGCGTCTCTACTGCACGGGGACACTGACCCCGAGGACTGCAGGGGCACTGGGTGGCCCCGCTCTTCAGGACAGTGCCAGGGGCACAGCTGTATTCACCTGAGGCTTTGTTTTTTAAAGTATGAAATTTCAAACCCTGTGGCACCAGCTGGCGCATTTTAGACTGGAAAGCTCTCGGCTGACAGGCCCTGGGCCCCCAAGCATTCCCGGGCAGCATGCTCCCAGCCCCGCCGTCTCACCCTTCCCAGCGGGGTTGTGAGAGGAGGAGACAGCACTGGGTGGGGAGCATCGATGTGTGGCTCCAGGGTGAGGATGGCTAACCAGGGGCGCGGGGATGCAGGCAGTACCGGCGGCCAGGTGAGCGGCACCACACAGGCAGTTTTCACTCAGTGCCTTTTATTGCCATTGGGTTTGTGGCTGCTGATACAGTGACGACCTCAGGGGCAGCAGCTGGATTAAAAAACCGTGGCTGGAGGTTCTTCTGACAAGAGCGGGTGGGGGCGGGGGGGTGAGGTTCAGAACCTGACGAAGGTGGCGTCGATCTGCCGCACGGTGGGGAGGGCCAGCATGACCTTCCGCCGGTACTGGGGGTCCCTCTGCAGGGGGTTCCGCTCCAGGTACACCGTCTCCAGGTTCCTGGCGCCCTTCAGCTCGTCCAGATCGCTCCAGCTCTCCAGGAGGTTGTCGTTCATCTGGGGGGACACACGTGCACATGTGTGAGGAGAGCCTTCAGAACACACAGCCCTGAGCCCCCGACCTGGCCCCTCTGGGGCCTCTTATCACCCTGGGAACGTCCTGGCCACCCTAACCCGGCCGT